AAATGGAGACTGAGGGTGTGGGCAGCTCAGGATCTGGTGGGCAGCCAGGGAAGGGCTGGTACCTGATTGACAATGATCTCAGTGGATTCGCTCCTACCTGGGGCAAACCCAGAGCAAGGGTTTTCAACAGAAGACCCCATTTCTTCCTTGAAGCCTCATCGATGGGGACTGTCACCACTGTTACAGAGAAGGAAGCCAAGCAATTGCTTTTGTGTGCGGCATCCAACTCGGTGCCTGGCTGGCTCTGGGGGAGGACGCAGGATCTCCCCCCTGGCACCCTCTGCGTTGGCTGACTTGGAGGCCAGGATCCCCACTTGCTGATRGAGCATTAGTCAGTGGTGCTGAGTCCATCTTGAAATAGTAGCAGGGCTTCGGGGAACCAGAGACCAGACATGACCAACACTTTGGGTCTTGCTGGAGCACCAGATGAAGGAGCTGGGATATGGTTGGGAGCCTTTGCAAATGCAAAACATTTGGAGCATCACCCAAGCCTGAGAGGCGAGGGGAATGGAGCCTGCCAGAAGAAACCGAGAGGGCAGACTGGAGTTTAATCTGGCTCACAGGGCCTGCGTCCACACACAGGCAGCGGATGGTGGTCAGAATGGCCTCTGCTCTTTAAGCAGCTATTTTTCTCTCTTCCCGGTGCCTGGTGTGTTTAACTGAATTGGCATGAGTTTCATGACAGATAGTGCATCTCTGCTGTCACAGGGACATGTCCTCCCTTTGGTTCAGAGCTTCACATACCCCAGTGCTGTTTCCCACACGGGAGCTCTTTCACCCTGAGCCCCGTGGGGCAGGATCATGTTCAGACCCATTTTCAGAAGAGGAAACTGAGGTCCAGAGAGGACCTAAGAGATTGCCCAAGTCACATACCTAGCTGGTGGGAGGGTCAGAACTGAAGCCCCATCTCTGTGGCCTGTCAGGGCCCCGTTCGGGGTCCAGTTGTGTGCAAGTTGTGTCTCACTGCACGGGTGGGAATGCGTTTGATTTTGGAGCGCCGCCCAGACCTTCTGGCTTATGTTTGGAGCACACAGAGCGTGCGCAATTTACCTTCTGTCCTCGGGAAGCTTTGAATTCCCCAAGGCGTCTGGCCTGGGACTTGGGACGAGAACTTGAGGACCTGGAGAGGCCACCTCTGCCATCCTGTGGTCCTCCAGTTCATGGGAGAAAAGGCCTCCACCACGTGGGGGGCAGCTCCTCCTGTGGGCCTGTGCGCCAAGGACCCCTCTGCTGGACGCTCTCCCTGGGCCCACGTGGTGGCTCACTCACTTCCTTCAGGGCCTCTTCTGGAGGTCCCCTGCCTGCGCGGCCACAGGGGTCTCTGAGTGAACACTGTTATCAGGCCCCAGCCAACTGCTCAAATATCAGCTTCTGGCGAGACCCAGCGGGCCCTCCGTGTGTGCATCCCACCCTCTCAGAGCGCCACGTCTCCCGTCACCCTTTATCAGTCTGTGCCCACACCGCGCGACCTGGCATCCGGACACTCCCTAGCTCACCTGGTCTCTCGTCTCTCTCCTTATCTCACCCGACCCTTCAGATCCACCAGGGCAGGGATCTTGTCTGTTTTGTTCACTGACCCCAGCACATAGTAGGTGCTCCATCAACTCTCCATAACATCATGATTACAATTATCCTTCGAGGTGGGCTCTACCACTGGCCTCTAGAGAGGAGAAAGCTGAGACCCAGAGGTTTTTGTCACTTTGGGTGGCCAAGTAGAAATCAGATTAGATCTGCGTTGCTCCAGAGACCCCTCCCCAGGGCCGCACACGACAGTGCACAGACACGTACTCGCGCTCGAGATCACCTACACGCACACGGAACAGGTGTTCCATCGACTCCGTCAGGTGGAGCTGGATCCCCTCCCTGCAGGGAAGCCCCTCTGAAGGGTGAGGCCAGACAGAGTGACCCGAAGGCCCCACTTGTCTTCAGGGGCCTCCATTCCCTGCAAGGGTGGGGAGCTCTGGGCCGGCCACAGGCGGCCCCTTTGTACTCAAGTCAAGGAGGGTCTCGGCTCTGCAGCCCGGGACAGTGGCTCTCCGCTCCCCTTGGGAGCCGGCTTCCCGGGTCTATCGTGGACACCCTCCCTGTGTGTATCTCTCGGCCTGTCTTTCCCCGTGGCCTTCACCTCCGCCATCTCTGTCTGGGACCCTTTCCCTCTCTCTCTGTCTGGCTGTTTCTTTTCCTCCCCTGGCCTTACATCTCAGGGAGACGTCACCCTGTTATTAGGCCCCAGCCTGGGTTGCTCCTGGGTTGCTCTCGACAGCGTTTCCAAAGGTGTTAAGTGTTTCAGACACTCATTTCCCCTACAGGCCTCCTCTGTGCGCTGGGCGGATCCACCAGGCTGGAGACACTGGTCTCACCCTGGCCGTCTCCCTGATGCTTTGCCCAGAACCGGGCAGAAGATGCTCAGTAAATACTTACAACATGTAGAGATGAAGGAAGGAACTAAGGAAGGAAGGAAGGAAGGAAGGAAGGAAGGAACAGCCTGTCCAAGAGGCCTGGGGGAAAAGAGATCCTTGCAAAGGCCAATGTCTGGCAAGACTCCCCCACGACCCGTCCTACCTGGTCTTGTTCTTGTTGACACTCTGTTGTTATGGTCACGCTTATTGAGCACGTACTACACTACCTGCCAGGCAYGGTACTAAAATTCAATGTGCACAAATTAATTTAATCCCATAAACCTCTGTGAGGTATATTATTATTTTCAGTTTACAGAGGAGGAAACTGGGGCTTATAGAACTAGTCCAAGGTCACCCTGCTGGCAAGTGGCAGAATTCAATTCAAACTGACTTCTGGAGTCCCCTTGGCTGGGGATGGCGGGTGGTGAGAGAGGCCTGAGCCACCTCCCCAGCCCACCCCAGGCAGGTCGAGTCTAGAGGGGACAGCTGTGCAAAGTCCTGCCCTCCCCTTTCACCCCTGACAGGCTTTGGGCATCTCTAGGCCTCAGTGGCCCGAAAGTCCCCAGCCAGGAGGCTGCTGTTCCCAGGGCTCTGGCACTGATGCGCCTCTTCTTGGAATGGCTCCAGGTGCCTGCGGTATTGGCCCCCAGCTCCAGTGCTGGCCCGTGGCACCCCCACCCTGTTGGCTGCTTCTCTGCTGGTCCAGGCTGGGCCCTACGGCCATTCTCTCCCCCTGGAGTGGTTCCGGGCCTTCACTCTCGGCTATGGGTGCAGAGAGCGGCTCTGTGAGGCAGGAGGGTGGTGCTGGGCTCGGCTGCCCACTTGCTGCTCCTCCCTGGACTGTCCTTGGCTTTTCTGGGCCTGTTTTCCTCACTGTAAAATGGGGCCAATGAGTCCGCCTACTTCCTACTTCCCAGACTGGGTTCCAGAAGACAATGGCTTTAAAAATACTTTTGATCCCCACAAAGGTGGTGCTGATTATCATTACTATGATTGTTATGATCTTGAGGTGCTGGGGACTGAACCCRGGGGYACTTTACCACTGAGCTATGCCCCCAGCCCTTTTTATTTTTTTATTTTGAGACAGGGTTTCGCCAAGTTGCCCAGGCTGGCCTTGAACTTGCCATCCTCCTGCCTCAGCCTGAGTTGCTGGATTGCCGGTATCTGCCACCATGCCTGGCAAAGGGAGGGAGCACTCATTACCCACCCGTTCCCACAAACACCTCCCCAGGAGCCACCTGCCCCAGAGGGTGTCCAGACTGGGTGAAGGCGCTGCTTCCAAATCTTCCCGACTCTGGGTTGCATGGAGCCAGGGGACCTGCCGTCCCGCCAGCAGCCTTGCCCCACAATGGTGCTCAGTGGGAGGGACCATAGAGCAGGACTCACTCTGGACCAGGGGGGAGTCTGTGGGGGGTGAGCCACAGGGGAGGGGGAGCCGAGAGGTGCAGCATCTGCTCCTAGAAGCCTTGGGGACCCAGAGGGCCACAGCAGCTCCTTGGCAGGGTGCGGGAAGCCAGCTGCAGTGTGGGGCAGAGACACACCCTGACAGCGGTACAGAGGCATTGTGTAACTGGCTGTTATGCACACGACYGCCATGTGAGCGTGTGTGCCCAGGAGCCGTGTCACAGCACACTCACAGGGAACCTAAGCCAGGCAATGCCCAGGAAAGTGCACGCAGCACACTCAAGCACACAGCACGCACATACGAACTCACACTTCCCAGCACACCCGCACTCCTGCACTCACACCTCACCACCCGAGGCTCTGCCGGGCAGGTGAGGCCCAGCCTGTCCCCTCCGCAGTGGGAAGCCCCCTGCCACCTCCTGTTCGCAGCTGGAGTCCAGTACCCCTCGTCCTGCCACACCTTCCAAAGCCCCCGGAAGCTCCCAGGCCTCATCCAGCTCACAGCCTGCTCCCCACATTCTATAAATGGGAGCTGGAGACCTGCCGAGGCTGGGGGACTCTCTGAGGCTACCCATGGTCAGGCTTAGAACCCAGGGCTTCCGCCTCCCAGGTCACATCACCCGCTGCCCCCCGCTTGCCCAGGAGCCTCCTGACTGGCCAGCAGAAGGACCCTGGGCCTGCGGTCGATCTGTAGCTGGGGCCTTCTTTGGGGCCCACCTACAGCTGCATGCGGTAGGGACCACAAACAGTGAACTGCATCCCTGACATCTGCTCAGCTGGGTCCCTGGAGGGAGTCCTGCTTTCCCTGGCTCACTCTGGCCCAGAGAGTTGGCAAGTTTCTCCTGGGACCAAGCACAGGCTGGGCCCTCAYGGGCTACCCTGCAGAGGGCTGCCACGCAGGATGGGGCTGGACAGTTGACTTCTGGGCTGAGTCTGATTTGAGCACAGATGTGCTTGGCGGGGTTCAGGGGGCCCTGGACAGCACAGAAGCGGGCTCGGGGCACTGACGGTGCCAATAGCAGAGCCCAGAGCCGAGCCGGCACTGGGGGAGCAGACGGGGACCCTGGTGGCCCCAAACCTCCCGACACATCCTAGAGGTAAGCGGCAGGCCTCGGAGGCAGACCTGGGAAGAAATGACAGACTCCCCTGCACACCAGCGAGCCCAGGCGTCCCTGCAGAGCTCGGCAAGGTACTCACCCAGCGTCCCCAGCAGGTACGCAGCGGCCAGCAGCAGATGCTGGGACCCCATGGGCGCAGCCTCCTCAGCCTCGGCAAGCCGGCACCCGTGGGTGAGGGTGTCTGGCCCGGTGTCTGGCTCTCAGGGAGGGAGGGGGCCGGGTGGGKCGGGCAGAGCAGGGGTGGGAGGGGGCGGTGGCAGGCAGCGGGGCCTGCGTCACTGTGTTTGAAGTTGAACTGTCAACTTCCTCCTGGCAAAACCACCCACCCAGATTGAATGGAGGCCCTGGCCTCCGCCAGTTTCCTGCCTGAGGTGCCAGGACTGGGGTGGTGCCCCCCATGATGCCCACACCTGGACGGGGCAGGCCTCCTGGTGGACAGGGCTGGGGGGTGGGGCCCTGAGTCGGAGGCCGCCTGGCTGTAGGTGAGCGCAGAGGAGTGGACGTGGCAGGAGAGGCGCCAAGGCAGGGCTCCCACCAGGGGACTCTGAGCGGGGCTGGGGGGCGCGAGGTGGAAGTCAGGAACGTGACCTCGGTTCCTGCTGCAGGCTCAGTGGCGAGAACCAAAATGGAAGAAGCCCACTTCCCCTTGACGAGGGATGAAGCTGGAATCTAAGGGAATCCGTGTGTGATCTCCATGTTGGCGCGTGGGTGCTCGCGCGGTATGTGTGTGTGTGTGTGTGTGTGTGTGTGTGCGTGTGTGTGTGTGTGTGTGTGTGAGAAACCTCTATGTGGAGGCTGATCTTGGAGGCACTGGAATCAACCTCAGGTCTGCTGAAGAAGCAGGGTCTCTAGGATTCTGCAGAGCAGATGGGGACCTGGAGCAGGACAAGGGCTCCTGTCCCCTGGCCAGGCTGGGACCAGTTCCTCTCCCACGTGCTTCAGGCTCCAGGATGAGTGGGCCAGCTGCCTGAATCTGGCTGTCCCAGAGCAGTTCAAGGACATGACGGCTGGTGCGAGGGAGTGTGCCTGTCCTCTCGGCCCTCCCTGTGCACTGTCCCCCTCTCCCCCCAGCAGCTGGGCCTCCCCTTCCTGGCATACCCACTAGGCTCCCCAGCCCCAACCCTTCTCAGTTTCCATTAATCGAGGCCTGAGGGTTTCAGGTGCTGCAACTGTTTAGCACAAGGAAAAATCAAGGAAAGGGGAGGCTGTGGTAGGCGATATTGGGGGCCACACCCACCACCTGGTGGAGGTCTGGAGGTGCCTCTGCCCTTCCCCAGAGGTGCCTCTGCCCTTCCCCAGAGGTGGCACTGCCTTGGCCCAGCTCTGACTGGCCAGGCCTGGCCTGGCTCCCTGCCTCACATCCATGCTTCCTGGCCCTGCAAATCGGCCATCCCAGTCTGATCATTCATTCAACAAATCCTTGCTCTGGGCTAAGCTCCAGGAAGGCAGAAATGAGAGATGCACCCTCCACGTGCTTACACTCCAAAGACCCCTGGACTATTCTGCTCTTCAGGACTGAGTGTTTAGTGTGTATGAAGGGGCCCCTCAGAGGCCCTGTTCCAAGCTCCCTTTACATAATCAAACCAGAGAGGGAGAAAATGGTTTCACTGAGCACCTGTCTTGAGCCAGGCAGTACCTTTCACCTCCCCAACCATCATGGAAAGTTGGCTCAGCTTCTCATTTCCCAGATGAGAAAACTGAGGATCAGAAAGCCCCGTCCTTGTCCCCAGGAGGTCTAAACTGAGATTTGAATCCACCTTATTTTTGTCCCGCATTACCCTCGTCACTGTCACCGGCTCTGCACCCTTACTAAAAGCAAAGAGGCTTCATCATCTGGGCAAGGTTATGGCTTCTGCTCTTACTGTTGTTTGGTACTTTGTGTTTGAGAAACTGAAAGTAGCGCAAGGCCTCTGCTTGCTGCCTTGGGGTCGGGGACCTTGGGACCCTGGGACCCCAGTGGAGGGGCAAGCTCCACCCCAGGCCTCAGCCCCACAGGCTCCTTCCGCGGTCCCTGTCGCCCACCGCACCCATTACCTCCRCTGGGCAGCGTGTCCCTCCTGCCCCTCCCGGGCCCCTGTCCTGGCCCTGTCCCCGCTCAGACCCCAGATCCCTGGCAGGAGTTTCCGGTCCTCATCACCGCACTTTCCATGACACGAGAGGAAGTCAGCTGAGCCCGTGGGTTTTCCAAGCAGCCGCCGGGTGGTGCCCAAGGTGGGGGAGGGGCTGGYGAGCCCCCGCGGCCAGGCTGGGCGACAGAACCTCCGCGGCCTCCGCGGGGACAGACACCTGCCAGTGCTGCCCTGGGCCACACCAGGTAACCTGGGGAGGGTGTACGGTGCCTGTCAGCYGGTCAGCCAGCAGATCAGTCCCCTGTCCCTCTGGACTGGTCACCCCCCTCTTGGGCCCAAGGGGCCACCAGGACGGGGAGGGGGAGGAGCTGAGAGTGGAAGGGAGGGGTGGTGGGAGGAGAGACGTGACTGTGCGGCGTAGTAGGACCTCAGTGTTTGTTGGGYGAATGAATGAAGGTTCCCCCGGTGACAGGGTGGTGTGGTGATCGGAGGAGATGGACAGGATGAGGCCCCTCCTGTGTATGTTTGTTGAGTGACTCTGTGGCCTGAATCCCTGAGCCTTCTACTTGGCAGCCTTGGGGAGGGCCGTAAGCACCCAGAAGAGCTGGTTTTCCAGAATTCTCTGACATCCCAGTCAGAAGTACATCGACTCCCCCACCTCTATTGCAGCCCACGGCAGATCACTGTGGGGTGGGCATGTGTGTGGTGGAGGGGCGCGAGCCCAGGGCACCCATCTTGGCTGCCTGACCCTGGGCCAGTCCATGTGGCACTGTGGGCCTCAGCCGGCTCCTCTGTGACAGGGGCTCCCCTGTTCCAGGAAAGTGGTGGGGGTGGGGTGGGGGTCTCTCTGCTCKGGGAGCCCAGTCTTTTGGAAAAGGACAGAGGATTCCAGGTCGCCTGGATGGGCCAAGTGGTCTGGGAGGTGTCCCAGTGTGTGACTCCTCCTGAGCGCCTGTGGGGGCGGAGCTGCTCCGGGGACTTCCCGTTGTCCCCCTGTTTTCCCAGCCTGGTTTGGACAATACGGCCTCCAATGGCTGTGGCGAAGCCTCCRGTAATTACTGAAGCAAAGAGCCTGCGCTCCTCTTCTGTGTCATGTGATTGAAGTTGAAGAGCAGAGTCAAGGGCACCATGCCGTCCTGACTCAGAAGGCTCTAGAACCATGTTGTTGGCGTATGATGGGTTTCAAGGGGATCTGGAGGCCGACTTTACCATACCATGAGGTGGGTGACCTTGGGCAAGTCACTTCCCCTTTCTGAGACTCTTCCTCTTCCTGCTTCACAGGGCTTCTGGAAGTTTCTGTGAGAGAGACACGAAGGCCTTGCAAACCCTCGTGTGCCCCTAGAGTCCCCAGGTCCACCCCAGCCTCCTGGGCCCTACTCAGGTTTCCTCCCCGAAGCCCTGTGCATGGGCCCCTGAGTGAATGATGGTCCCCTTCCTCTCCCACCGTCACCACAGGTTACAGCATCACACTTCCTGCGGCCCGTGGTCCCTACAACCTGGCGTTCRTGTTTCTCTACCACTGCTCTTGTGAGTTTGGACTTGTTCAACCGCAGGGTGTACATGTGGCTTAAGAAAATAAGGCCCCTTAGTTTAGTAGAAGACAGGTGTTAACCAAGCCCATTTTTTCAGATGAAATAACAGGACCAGAGAGCTCCTAGAATGTTCCTTTTAGGGAGCTCTCCTGGGCTGACCAGGGGGTGGGGTGCAGACGCTTAGGTGTAACAAAAACTCGAGAGGTTAGGTGAATTCCCCAAGGCACACAGCTAACCAACAGTGAGGCTGGACTGCAGCAAACCTTTCTGTCTCTCATCTCAGGCTGGTGCTTCTTCTGGCCTTTAAGAAGTTTTTCTGTGTTACAGTAGAGATCTTGGGGGGCCAGGAGGCTGGTAGACCCGGCTGTGTGTCCTGGGTCGGGGTGTCTCGGGTCCTGCTTATGAAACAGGTGAAACAGGACCTGACTTGAAGGGCTGTCGTGGGCCTGGCTGAGGTGTCCATGGAAACACACCAAGTGGCCATCCAAATGGTCCGGGTTCAGASCAGGGGACCCTCCTGGCCCCTCAGAGTAGCATGCAGCGTGTCTAAAGCCCCCGACGCAGGACTTCCAAAGATGTAGGCGACTGGGACCCAGGATGAGGAGGGCCGGGCCTGGGCCAGCTGGGGAGGAGGTGCGCCCATTGCGGCCTCTGGGAAAGTCAGGGAGGACTTCCCCAGCGGGCAGCGTCCAGGCAGAGACTGCAAGGAGCAGGAGTTTTCTTGGTGCTGGGATGAGTTTTCTAGGCCGAGGGAAGGTAGYGCAAAGGCTTCTGGGTGCTGTCAGGAGACAGGTGCTGCCACAGGAGAGAGGCCACGGTCCTCACACCAGYGCTCGGTCCTGCTGGCCCGCGGGCCCTGTGCCTGGTCACACCTCCTGGGCCTCAGTCTGTCTGCTCCAGATGGCTCCCAGGTCCCTCAATTTGTGACCTGTGGCTTGGAGTCTCACTTAGAGACCTGAACAGTGGACACAGCCTGTCCTAAAGGACAAGAGGACCAAAGCCACAGCATTTTTTTWAAAAAAGCTCCTAGAATGTTCCTTTTAGGGAGCTCTCCTGGGCTGACCAGGGGGTGGGGTGCAGACGCTTAGGTGTAACAAAAACTCGGAACAGGGGCCCAGGGCGAATTCTGACCCCACCGCACGTGGGAGTCCCGTGTGGCCAAGGAAGAGGGGTGGACACCAGTGTGCGGATGCGGGGGTGGCCGGGGCCTGGGCTCCGTGAAAACACTCAATTTCAGAACAGTTTGCATATTTTAATCCTATTTGCACAAAATAAAACCAGGAGTGATTTGAATGTTAGATATAGTTTCTGCATCTACAGAAAAAAAACCTACTTTTTTTTTTTTTTTTGCAGAATAATAATCATCAGAATAATGATAAAAAGTTAAGAGTGAAAGTGGGATTTGGAAGAGATGGTGGCGTGAGATTGGATGGGGTTTTATTTTTATTTCTGCTCTTCAGAAATTAATTTTTCTCAAAGAAAGTATATTAAAATTCTGTGATTCATTAAAAAATAGCAGTAAAGAGGGAT